TGAAAATGCCAAAAGTTGTATTTTTTTTACACACATTCCTCCCTAGTCCACCTGCAAAAATACTGCTTCTGTGGGCTCATCTGATGTCATAAACTATTGTGTCATGAATGAAGAAAAACAGCATTCTTACCTCTCTGGGTATGCAGTCAGATGACCCAGGCTGTAAAGTGGAAAGTGTTTTTTCCATTGGTGCAAACACCATGGGCATCTGTATCAGCTGCCTTGGAATTGCTTTTGATGTGATTAGGCTACTAATTAGCTGTCTCAATTCTTCTCTCCCTCCTGATGTTTTCTTTTGATTCACTTTGACTCTGAGGAGTCTGTGTTCCCTGTATGTTTGTTTTTGTGTTTTGTCTAAAATCCCTAATGATAGCTTAGACTGTCCTCTTTTGGTTGAGAGTTTCTCTGTGTTTACATACATTTTTCTATTAAATACATGCATCAGGATTTTTCTCGTAAGAATACTTGTTATTTTGCAAGGTGTAAGCAATGTATTGTCAGTGTGTGTATATGAATATATATGCATATTCTTTTAAACTGTGCTAAGGATTTTACAGTCTGAATGAGAACATGCATAGCTACTTCAAAACCATCAGAAGTATAGTAAATATTTAGTACTTGATTATTTATGCACCAGATAGTGACCTCACAATTAAATTATTATGTAAAGTCAGTTAAATAACAGCAGAAGTTATTGTATTAAGGCCCACTTTGCAAGGAAACCAATGACAAGGAAGCAGTGAAACATGCTAATAGATTATATGCTATAGCAATATATTGCCTTTTTATTGCTTTTCCACAGGCAGCAGATTCATGTATAGTTATTACTAGCTACATTATCTGCTAGTTTTCTATCAAAAAAAGATTCAGTCTATTGTATCATTAATCCAATATTTATCATTCTTATTGAAAATCCAGTAGTGTTAGCACTGTATAAAATACTGACTTAAATCTACTGGTTGTGCTAAAGATTAAAAGCATATTAACCTAAAAAGCACAGTATTTCTTAGGATATTTGAAACTATTCATTGTGGATGTTTGAAATGACAATATTTCTATGTTGTGCGAGGAATGATTTTTTTTTTTTTAAATCTTTAACATATAGTAAGTGACCAGTGCTATCCTGATTTGAAGATGCTGAATGTTCATCCAACTCATATTTGAAATTTTGATGTGTATTGCATTAGTTACTGAATATCAAGAATAAGATTTTTGCTCATACATAGAGTGTAAAATGGGATCTTTTGTAGCAGCACACGACCTGTTTAGAATGATAGAACAGGCGCTGAATGTTCACATATCAAACAAAATGCCATCTTTCTGTAGAAAAGAGGTGTCAAAAAGTTTCTTTGTACCTTTAACGCATGTGATTATGTAGTACAAAATGCAGAGTTTGTAAAATTTCTTGAATATACAGGCAAAAAATGAATAATTCAAAACAACTCATAAGTTCTACATTCTATTGTATCTTTTATAACGCAGGCAGAAGATAGCATTGTGTTCCCAGTAGAGCTGAATTTGCACAAGTTACACCTCTGAAAATGCCAGATGGTCTATGGTCTACTTTTGAGAGCTGTCACATATGTAAAGATTTGAAAAAAGAAAGACAGCTGAATGAGAGCAGTGGATCATTAAAGAGAGAGTGAGAGTCCCTGGGTATCACTGTGTTTTAAGAAGCATTGTGTCGTTCCCCATATTACACCTTTTTTTTTTTTTTTTTTAAGATATACACAACCTTTAAAAAATAAGGTAAAAATATTTCTGTTTTAAACTGAGTGGTTGTGGCTTAATCTTGGAGCTGTCAATTGCTTTTGTTCTTTATGCTAGAATGTGGTCATATGGTTCCTAATTGGTTTCAAGTGTGTTTTAACCATAAGATTCAAGTCTCCCTAGTGCAAAATTATCAATAAAGTTAAAATAAATTTAAATTGAGATAACTAATCCATTTGGGGTTTTATTCCATTTTGATTTGACCTGCATACCACATGTGAATACTGTAAAGCCAGTCAGCTAAAAAGTTGTATGTTAATGCTAAAAGACTGGAGTAAAAAGTACTTTGGGAACAGGACTATTTTAAAAAAAACCACACCAAGCCACCCCTCCCCACAAAAACCCTTAGTAAAAATAATAATAAAAGCAAACACAAATGACTGCTTAGATTGCCCAAGACTTCCCATTCACCCACAGTTTGACAGAAAAACAGCTAATTTTGAAGGTGGAATTTTGGATAATTTGTCAAGTTACTGCATTGTAGCCAAGCACCAAAAATATACACCACCAACTTAACTGGCTTGGAAAAGGTCATAACTGTCAGTTTTAGAAACAGAATTTTTAGTATAGTCTATTGCTTTTATTTATTGAGGAAGGTTAACCCCTCCCCAGTAATTCTAGGTTACTGGTGCAGCTGCACCACTCCACAGTTGGGAATGATAGGCAGCAGCACAGTGTGAGGAAACATTGTTACGTGGAACATGAAAAACCCTGTTCATAATAGTGCAATTTACATTTGAGTGGGATAATGAAAATAAAGCTGTGGGGAGCTATGGGTATGAATATTGATCTTTAGAGAGTAAAAATTTTGTTTCCTGTTGCTAAAAATTTTATTGTTGACTGTAGTTAGGTCTACGTTAACTACTTCTAAAATGGAAGGATTTGATTAGTTTTTTAACAAAATTTGTTTTGCACGTACATGGAAAGATGTCCTATGCAAAGGGTTCCTGGTAGTATACTTTTACAGAAACCTGTTTCAGGTAGGATAAAACTATCTAAAAACCTGTTCGGGGGTTTTTATGATAGTCTGGAAATGTTAGCAGAATATATACTGCAAACAGAATTCCAGAGTGCAGAAAGTGCCTTGCTTATGCTTCTGTTCATAGGTTTTCCAAGCACTAATGTAAAATTGAAAGGAGAAAGAGTTTCTTTATTGCCATTGAAAACTTTTTGAGCAACAATTAGTTGTTAAGGTGTCAGACAGCATTGTGCTCCTGCTCTGTTCGCTTGTAAGTTCGTGAGCAGTTACTGCTGGTAATGGAAGGGAATGATCTTTGTCTTCTCTGCAACATCTTTGGAAGGACTAAAGCACAGATGTTTTCCACAGCCCTCCCTTTCTTTCCTGCAACACAAAATGATCACTTTTGCAAAGCAGGTTCAGTCAGGGTTACTCTGACCAAGACAGATGTGGGCAGTCTAGGATATCATCTTAAAATCTTAGTTGCTGTGCCTGAAAAAATGAAATGACAAGAAAAAATGAACCAATTAATATTTAAACTGTTATGAAAAGTATCTCCTTTTGCCTGTGAATGTGACCAGGACTTAAAGTTTAACATATATCTGAAGTTTAACCTGGACAAATTTATGACAGTTGGAGGAAGCAATCTGAGAATGGTATCGGTGTCCTTGATAAAAGGGAAGCATTGAGGGTTTGCTAGGCAAATTCAGAACCGAGATTCTTTTTAGGGACCATGTTGGTCTGTGTATCCCGGTAGTATTTGTCTGAAAGTTTGGTCACTTGCATCTGAAGTGATCAGTGGGGATGTTTCTTTTAGACGAGGCTAACTATAATTATCTGTACCTATTGTTGTCTTGGACACAGTGTAATCTACGTATGAAGCTATACTGTGAAATCATCTGAAAATGGATGTGAATCATCTGAAAAGAGAATGAACTGCAGCACTGTTCTTCTTTACTGCTGGCACTGTCTAACCTCTCTTCGGTTGAGCGTTCAGTAGAATCTAGGCTTTTTCCTTGACATTAGATTTACAAAATAGTTGAAGATTGGACTGTCTGAGAACCTCTTTATGTTCAAGCATGGTGCAGTAGTGTTTTGATTAGGAGAAGTGATTGGGCTGATGCTTTTTTGATTATGAAATCTTGTTGTGTTACTCTGTGTATGGTTTAATTAGTTTTCAAGCAAAGTCTGCATTTTTTTTCTAAATAAGAATTTTTAATTGGAAATCACTTTTTTATTACAAAGCTTTACATAAAAAAAGTCCTGCATCTTTTGTTTTCTTTAGATACAGACTTTAAATACATAGACAATGTATTTTCCGTGTTATTAAAAATATGTTCCTTTATGATACAGTATTTCAGCAAAGAATGGTCAGGTTTCATGCCCTCTCATTAGAATGTACTCTTGGAGTCTTAACCAGGCCACTGCAGATTCCTGCCTTGACAGGTTTTGTATTTTTTTTTTCCTTTGACCATTTCGCTTTGTTGCCATTAAAGCCCTGGCCCATTACAGCCATTTTAAAAATTGTGATTCTGAATTGAGGAATGTGGGTGGGGAGGACTCTGGCTTGCCACAGCTGTGCAGTGTTTGAATGCACGTTCCTTCTGGTTACTGATCACCTCCTCCGCAAAACCAGATTTTGATTGGTTTTGTTCTTCCCAGAAATCCACAATCTTTAGGAATTTGAGGTCAAACCATCAGTGGTTACCTGGATACTCCTATTATTCTCTAATATATGGCTCTGTGGTGGCTGAGTGTCAGGGGGGCCCCTACCATGTCACTCAGGTTATTTTCTGAAGACTGGCAGGTTGGACAACCTGCAGCTTCACTTCTGTTACTGCAGTCTGTATCTTCCCTCCCATAACTTTTTCTCTCCTGTTGCATTTCCTTCATTCTCTGTTTGGCTCCCTTAAGCCAAGTTTATCTCACTTTTGCTACTGATGTCCCATTCCTGATTTTTTTCCTTCCTCAAATTTCTTGCCCTATTCTCTTCATCTAATTCACAGAGTGCTGCAGACCTTTCCATGCAGAGACAAAGGGGGAATCTAGGCCTTATACAGACATGAGGCACTTTGTGAATACCTAATAATTATTTTTAATCTAGAGATATTTTCTGCTTTCTTTTTTTTTTTTTTTTTTTTGATGGGAGAATGCTATCTTTTCAGTCTACTCTGGTCAATAAGAGCAATGAAAGTTGTCTTCCCAGTCTAGCCTAAAATGTTCAGTTATCAATTTACAATTTACATTAACCTTTTCTTTCTTTCATTTTAAGCACAACCTCAACGTTTGCCTCAGCCGAATACTTCAGCACTGGAAAGGGGTGAGGAAGAAAGTGGCAAAATCCAAAATGGCCACGCGGGTCCGAGTAATGGAAGTGGAATTCACAATGGGGTCAAGCACATGCCTGCAGACAACAGAAAGCTTTCTGCTCCTGTTTCAGAAAAAATGCATAGAAAAATTCAGTCCACCTTGTCTGTCAACAGCAACAGCAGCAAGAAGAGTAAAATAAACTCTGCGTTTTCTCAAAAGCCAGGTACTTCACCTGAAGGTAAGCAGAAATTCTTATTAAAAAAACCCCAGACTGAATAAAGACTAGCCAAACCCCATTCTCACTAATAATTACACAATCAACTGAAAGTAATTGAAGAGCACGACTCATGCTCCAGAAGCAAATAGAAATCATTATGATAAAACACAAGTTACTTCCCCAAAGGAAAATATTAAGTATTTGAAGGAAATTGAAGCAATGGGAGATTTCTTGCTTTCAAACATTTGTCCAACATAGTCTGATAATGTTTTAGTCTCTCATTAGTATCCTGAACTGATAGAAACTCCTGTCAACATTGTCACATATACATGAGAAAAAAGTCTGAAAGCACTAGTTCAAAGCATAGTAAGTACTGTAATCCAGTAATGTCAGGCTCCATGAGAGTAGAGTTTGCTTTCGAAAATGTTCACAGGTATTCTGACTAGCCATGAGGTCTGAACGCTAGGTAAGAAAATTTGGACCTCTGCTTCAATGTTTAATGTGCCTTATGCTATATTTGGGCTGTAAATAATTTTTGTGAGAAAGCTTTGTACTTGCTGTGCACAGCTTAAATAAACAAAAGTAAATAATTTCCCTTACATTTTAGCTGTGTGTGTGTGTTTTCACTGCTTGCAATTACTCTCATGGTCCTGAAGTTCCCAAGCATCTCCTCAATCCACTGCCTTCCCATTAGCACTAACATACTCAATGGGCTTTGCTCCTGCCTGTTGCAAGAAGGGTGCAGAGGCTCTATAAATTTTATTGGTCTGAAGCAGGAATAGATGCAACTGGTAAAAAAAAAACAAACTCTGGGGGGTGGGTACAGACACAGATTCTTAGAGAAATGGGAAATGGTACTGTTCAGTGAAAGGGGGAGGATTCTCAGACAAGATGAAAGGAAGAGGGATCGAGACTGCACGTAGTGACCTGAATGTAGCTTGCTGATGTCAGTGGAGTGACTTCTCTTGACTTCAGCGACTTCAGTCAAACCTAATGAGCGAGTCTGTGTAGGAATACCATGGGCTGGTCCTCCTTGCTGTGGTTTATCTTCAAGAACCTACTGTTATTTTTCTGTTGCACTTTCAGTCCTCTAACATTGCTTTCCAAAATGACAACTTCGTTCTTTCTATGTTCCCCTTATCTCTTTCTATTATGTAAAATCCAGTTCTCCCTCCAGCCCAATATTTTTCTTATATGTCATAAAACTGTAAGTCAAGAGACCTAGATGTGTTCACATGACTGGTACAAAGTGCAGGCCTCTGAATACAGGAAATTCAACCTGTGAAAAAGAAAATATGGAGTTCTAAAGAGACAATGCCTGCCCTGTTCATGGGCTTTTATTTGTGCAATTATTTGTGGCAAGTACTTCTTTTTTTCTTCTAAAATTATATTGGAATCAATACAGTCACTGGGTGTTTCGTTTGTTTTTAATATCCTTGACAATAATTACGTCAAATTACTGAATGATTGAGGAGAAATTAATATATAGCTTCAGATATAGCTGTAAGTTATTCTAATGTCTGATTTTAAAATCCAGCACATGATCGTGTTGGTTGCCTGAAACTACTAATATACATTTTTTTCTGTACGGTCAGAAATATTGATGTTTTTAAAGGTATGCCTGATTACAATATAGATAGTTACATTGTGTTGTCACACTGGCTAACTTACATACTTTCAAAGTACAGAAATACAGGGTAATCCTTACTGTCACGTGTTTTCTTGCATCACCTAATAGCTAAAATTAAATATATTAAACGTTATACATCTAACCTTGTAATGTTCTCGTTTTGAACGTGGGAACTTGGATATATAGTCTGAATAGCTTGACCCACACCACTACTATCTGCTGCTTTAAGTTTTCTGTTAACCAGTCTGAGTGAAGCACAAGTTTTATTGTGCAGTGGTTAAAGTATATCTGGGGAATTTGTGTCTACACATCTGCATGCACACACATACAAGCCCTCTGACAGTTTCTTCAGCTTTTCAGTAATTTACTTGGTAGGGCTGCATGGGGCATCTACAGGCTATAAGTAGTATTCTTATCAAGTTGTTACCTTGCAGGAAGTATATACATAATTTATTCTATCGTATCAGGTTTTTGATAAGATGCATAATCAGAGACTCTGGAAGTGGTCAGATGAAATATCTAAAATAACACCAAGAAGAGATTGCTATTTAAGAAAAAAATTATTTATGACTTAAAAATAATTGTGTTCATGAGTTTAAGAAATTTTGTTCCCTTATGGCTACTTCTGGAAGGCTACACTTTAAAAACTTGATCTAAGTAGCCAAATTATTTGCTCAAAGGAGTTTAATTGCTTTTAAACCAGCAATATATATACCTGATGGATAAACCAGGAGAGTACACTGGTAAGTCCTGTGACTTACTCCGTAGGCATTCTTTCAAAATGATATATGCAAATTAATCTGAAGCTAGCTCCTACAGCTTCTTTGTGTTATGAATCATACTTCTCTGGGCAAAGAGTTATTTTTGTGAGCAGTTGTGTGTTCTGATCCAATGACATTTCTGTAGAAACTATTGAAAACATTTACAGGAAGATGGAAAAGATAGGAAACTATTGGAAATTATTTGCAATGTTGCTTAACTACTTGGCTTTGCTTTAGTTTTTACCATGTTAACCTCGTAAGCCATTGGCTGCTGCTGAAGAGCTCCTGGGTTTGAGTTTACAGGAAGGTGTGTGTTTGTGCTTGTGCACATCTATACAGTGTAATAATATAACTTGAATACGTTTTCTTGTGTAATCTTATGCAAAAAGAGAAAAAATATATTTTTTTTTGTACTGTGAATGTTGAATAATTAATCATAGAATCATAGAATGGTTTG